GCTGGCCTCGAACTCACAAAGATCCGCCTGCCTCTGCCTCCCAAGTGCTAGGATTAAAGGCGTGCGCCACCACGCCCAGCTTATTTACTATTTTTATTTTATGTGTATGAGGGTATTGGCTGCATGTATGTGAGTGCTACAGAGATCAGAGAGGGCTTCGGATCCCCCTGGAACTGGAGTTAAGGATGGTTTGTAGCTGCCATGTGGGTGCTGGGACTTGAACCTGGGTCCTCTGCAAGAGCAGTCAGTGCTCTTAACTGCTGAGCCATCTCTCCAGCCCCAGCACTGGATTTTTTTAAGGTTAAGTCTTTGGATTCCAGGATTCATTCCACATATTCCTTAGCAAGTGTTCTCATATTAAAAACTGCTGGGGATCATATGCCTGTAATCCTAACACTTGCAAGGCTGAGGTAAGACAAAGAGTTCAGGCCTTTGTTCCTTTCACTAGTTGGAAGCCAGCCTGGGCTATATAGTGAAGTATTGTCTCAAACCAAAACAAAATACCATTGGTGCACATAATCAAAATTAGAAAATCAACTAAGAGCAAAGATAAAAATTTATAATAGAATGAGTGAAATACAACAAACAACCAATAAATATAAGTAAAGCTTTTGAGACAGGGTCTCCCTGTAGCCCCAGCTGTCCTGGAACTCACTATGTAGACCAAGCTGGCCTTGAACTCACAGAGATCCGCCTGCCTTTGCCTCCCAAGTGCTGGGATTAAAGGTGTGTGCCACCATGTCCGGCATCCTGCAGTTTTTTTATGTGACTGTTTTCCATTAGTACTATAGATGTGAATTGAGATATAGATGTGAGAACCTGTGAATTGAGAAGGCTGACTATATATCACATGCTTCACTGCTTGTAGTGGGTTCTCAGCAAATATAGGCTAGGTTAATTCTGGTGGTTTCGAACTGAAAGGAACTGGAAGACATATGTTGGAAATATTTTTTTCTTCTTCCATAGAAAATAAAATCACTGGTTCATTTCTGCCCTTCCTTGATGAATCTCTTCTTGAAAATCTTGGAGTAAGGTAAGAATAACAACATTCACAGTTTAACCAGACACAACCTTTGAGAAACAAAGATCTTGGACATTACCCATCCTCAATTTAATTCTGTGACGTTTTAATTTTTCATTATTATTTTTATTTTATGTGTATGCCTGTATTGCCTGTATGTAGGTAAGTGCACCTGTGTCGTGCAGTGTCCGTGGAGGTCAGAAGAGGCTGTCGGATCCCCTGGGACTGGAGTTACAGACAGTTTTTAGCTGCCATGTGGGTGCTGGGATTCGAACCCAGGTCTTCTGCAAGAACAACCAGTGTTCTTAACCGCTGAGCCATCTCTCCAGCCCCTTAATTCTGTGACATGTTTTAAAACTGAATTCCTTGCCTGCTGTTTTTGCTCTCTCTGTCTCTCTCTTTTTCTTTTTTGTAAACAATGTCTCCCTGTAGCCTCAGCTGGCCTGGAACTCACTATGTAGACCAGGCTGGCCTCAATCTCACAGAGATCTGCCTGCCTCTGCCTCCTGAGTACTGGGATTAAACTGGCTTTTGCTATACAAGTCTTGTGTTTAGTTTTACAGATGGTTCCTATTTCAAAGAACTCTGTTGGAAAACCCTCTTGAAATCTGTAGTGATCAACATTTTACAAATTCAAAATAATGAGTTATACACCAGAAAATATATCAGAACCAAGAGAAAAAAATATTAGCAAGAAAATCAAGACTACATCCCTATCTTGAACACATTTCTAGCTCTCTGAAGACTGGAATGTATCCATGTATGTAAACTGTTAAAGCACATAATTATCCCATTATAAATTGTACACACACACACACACACATATGGCTGGAGGTTCTAGGCACTAAGAGTTGGGAAGCCTTTGAAGATCTTACTTGAGTATCTAGTGGTTACATGTGCAGCTTTTTTTTCTTGGGGGAATTGGCAGTAGTCATAAAATATGGTCTTTTCTTCAGGAATTTCACTTTGTTCAATGTTCTTGGTAACAGTGACCAAAGAATCAAAACAAAGGACTATACTGAATTCATGCACTATTGCTCAGAACTTGATAGTGAAACAAGACATGGTCCACTTAACTGACTTTCAGTAACTGCCTGTTGGTCCACAATCTTTAGGGCGTTCTTTGCTTCTTCTATAACCCTTTCTACCACCGCAGTCCTCTCAAAGTCCCCTTTATTACCTGTGAATTGATGGAATTTCCTCTAATCTTTCTTTTCACAGGAACATGTGCACCTTTGAGGAGCCAAACACTATTGATTCATTTGGCAGATACTTAAGGGAGGCTCACTTTGTGCTAGGCACTCTTCCAGAAACTTGGGCACATGTGTGAACAAGCAGGCAGAATTCTAGAAGGAGCACAACATAGCACATCTCTTGGTCTCTGCCTTCTGCCTCTGAGATGAATTCTGCAGGACCCTTTAGAGTTGTATTAGCCTATGATTTAGATCCCTGCTGTATATTTAAATTAACTAAAATTAGATTAAATTTTTAATTCTCATACTGGCTAGATTTCAAGTGAGTAATTACCACTTATGTCTAGTTGCCACTAGTTGAACAGAGCAGATAAAGAACATTTCCATCATTGAGAAAGTTCTAGAAGGGCATCAGCCCTAGTTGCTCAGTGATTCCTGTCAGCTGGCTTGATACTGTGCTCTGTACTGCTTTTCTCTCATTTCCTTTTTTACCCTTCCTAGGTCCTTAGCTAATTCCTGTTTCTAGGCTATACAGCCCTAAATAAATTACCTGTATATAAGCTCTTGTGTTAGACTCTGCATTTTAAGGGGAATCTAGTTTAGAGAAGCACTTCTTGTATTCCTTAAGGTTCATGATTAAAGTGCTGATTTATGAAAGTTTTTTTTTTTTTTTTTTTCTTTTTGAGACAGGGCCTCCTTGTAGCCCCAGCTGTCCTGGAACTCACTATGTAGACCAGGCTGGCCTCGAACTCACAAAGATCTGCCTGCCTCTGCCTCCCAAGTGCTGGGATTAAAGGCATGCGCCACCATGCCCAACTTTATGAAGGTTTTTAAATGAGCATCATTACACTAAATGTGTATGTGGAGCTGGGTGTGGTGGCTCATGTCTGTAATCCCAGTCCTTGGGAGAACTGCTGTGTGTGCCAGGCCAGCCTAGGTTACATACTGAGTTCCAGGTCAACCCATGCTGTAAAGAACACACACAGCCCAAGAAAATCACACTTAGAAGAAAATCACACCTGAATTTTATTATTGTAGTAAGTTTCTGTACGGTGAAGAGGACAGTTGTGGTGCTTTTGATTTCAAATCTATTAAGACTTTTTTTTTCTTTATGAGACAGAATCTCACTATGTAGTCCTGGCTGAACTGGAACTCCCTTTGTAGACCTGGCTGGCCTCTGCCTTCAGAGTGATGGGATTAAAGGCATACACTACCACACCCAAACTATTAAGACTTAAGAGATTTTGTTTTTCAGCCTAATTAGCTAGTAAAAAGGGAAACTAAGCCTTCCTGCTGGTTTTGTTGACATTCAGTATGTTATGGTGTGTCTGATATGCCTCAAACAATGAGCAATTGTAGGTGAAGCAGGATACTAAATAATAATGTATTGAGCTATTAAAACATAATTCCTCGGGCTGGAGAGATGGCGCAGCGGTTAAGAACACTGGTTGTTCTTGCAGAAGATCTGGGTTTGAATCCCAGCACCCACATGGCAGCTAACAACTGTCTGTAACTCCAGTTCCAGGGGATCCAACAGCCTCTTCTGTCTTCCTTGGGCATTGCACTACACAGGTGCACATACCTACACGCAGGGAATACATGCATACCTATAAAATAAAAATAATAAATAAAATATTTTTAAAAAACCATAATTCCTCAAATTACCTTCCCTAGCTGAAGGGATCATAAGGGGTTATAGAGAATGGAAGCTGAGTGTGAAACTCAATCCCACATAGAGATTTGTTCATACTTCAGTTATACCTGATGCTCCTAAATCAGTCCAGGATCATGATGGAGATCTTGGCTTCAGTTTGGTTAAAATAGAGTTGGAATATGAACTGACTATTCTGGTAGAATTTGAAGTCTGAGTTTGTCAGGAGAGAAGAGGCAAGACTCAAGGGCAGAAGCCTAGGGTACCCTCCTTTTGTTCAATAGGAGTTTCTCATGGGAACAAAGGAAGGAAGTTTCTAGGAAGAGTATGTTTGTGTTACTGATTGTTTTTTGTAATCTAATGTTTCTATTAGTGCCCTATTCTAGACCTGATTGTATGCTAGTATATACTCCTAGAATTATAATGAATAATAATAATAATAATGAATATAATAATGAATAATAATATAATGACCAGCTGGATGTAGTTACTTTGTTTCAATTTTAGTTCCTTGGAGGGGAGGAAGAAGCTGATTGGCTGTATCCAAAAACTCAGTCAAACTCATGTTGAGTTAATGAAGGTAAGAGGAGTCTGAGTTTATTGTGGGTTTGTGTGTGTATATATAAAGTGATATGATTCAATCATTTAAAATTCAGTTCAAAAAGTATAAAAGGACATTTCAAAGATGGGATTGTGAGTTTTCTAAACTCTGCCTTTTATTTATAAAATGAGCACAGGGTGTATAATCCAAAAAACAATAACAAAACAAAACAACAAAAATCCAGCCAGGTCTGTAATCCCAGGCACTCAGAAGGCTGAGGCAGGAAGATCAGAAGTTCAGGTCTTACACTGGCTACCTAGTGAGTTCAGGCCCAGTATGGGCAACTTGGTGAAACTATGTCAAAAGAAAAAGTTAAAAAGAAGAAAGCTAGGAGCTAGGTGTGGTGGGCACAAGCCTTTAATCCCAGCACTGGGGAGGCAGAAGCATGCAGATCTCTGTGAGTTCCAGGCCAGCCTTGTCTACATAGTGAGTTCCAGGCCAGCTGGGACTACAGGGAGACCCTGTCTCAAAAAGACCAAAAATAAAAGGAGGAGGAGGGGGAGGGGGAGGGGGAGGATAGGGATGTAGCCCAGTGTTAGAGTACTTACAGAGGCCCTACATTCAATCTCCCTTACCCCCCCAAAAGAAGTAAATGAATAAATTAGAAGGAAAACTAAAATTTATTAAAAAGATAACCTCCTGAGCTTATTAAATCCTAACATTTTGTCTAATTTATTTCAAACCTATTATTTCTAAAAGAAAACATTGGAAACTTTTGTATATTTCTATATTCTATTTCTGTGTTTTCCCCAGAACTAAGCCTTTTCTAGAATTCAGTATTTATCATTTGCATTTACTTTTACTATTTTACTACATACGGGGGTGTGATTATTTATGTTTGTATCTGTCTGCCTATTTATAAATAGTATTTACTTATTTATTTTTTAAAATATGTTATTTTTATTTTATGTATATGCGTGTATTGCCTGAGTGTAGATAAATGCACCTGTGTCATGCAGTGCCCATGGAAGACAGAAGAGGCTGTTGGATCCCCTGAAACTGGAGTTATGGACAGTTGTTAGCTGCCATGTGGGTGCTGGGATTCGAACCCCAGTCTTCTGCAAGAACAGTCAGTGTTCTTAACTGCTGAGCCATCTCTCCATCCCCACTTATTTATTTTTTAATTATTTATGTGTATGAGTGTTTTACCTGCATTGATGTAAGTGTACCACTTGTATGTAATGCCTGTAGAGGCCAAAAGAGGACATCAGATCCCCCTAGAACTGGAGTTACAGACAGCTGTTAGCTGCCATATAGGTGCTGGGAACTGAATCAGGGTCATCTGCAAGAGCAGCCAGTGCTCTTAACCACTGAGCCACATCCCTAGCCCCTGTACTTAATTTTCTTGACAGTGTTGATAAGCTTTCTTTTGATATGTTAGTCTGGAAGGTGAATATTCAGTCCTGTTCAGATATGAAAAATCTTGTTTTAGAATTCAGTATTCGAGAAGCATTTTAACAAACATTTCATGTACCCTATCAACTAGCTCCAGAAGTTCCAGTTGTAAAATTTTATAGTAGAGCTCTTGGAATGGCCTTTGTTTGTTTTTGAGGCTGAGTCTCATGTAGCCCAAGCTGCCCTTGAACTTGAAGTTCTTGTCAAATATTAATATATGGTATACAAATATTTTCTCCCATTCTTTGAGTTATCATTTTCACTTTCTGAATGAGGTCTTTGGAGCACAAAAGTCTTTTGCTGCTATTGTTTGAAGGACTTCAGGTGGTGCTGGGGATTGAACCTCAGCCTTGTGCATGCTAAGCAAGCACTTGACTCCATCCCCATAAAAATTTTTAGGTTTTTGTTTTCTTTTTTTTTTTGGTCTTTTTGAGACAGGGTCTCCCTGTAGCCCCAGCTGGCCTGGAACTCACTATGTAGACCAGGCTGGCCTTGAATTCACAGAGATCTGCCTGCCTCTGCCTCCCAAGTGCTGGGATTAAAGGCTCCCATACCACCACGCCCAGATAAAAGTTTTTTTTAATATTTTATTATTTTTATTTTATGTATATGTGTCTGTGTATTGCCTACATGTGTGTAAGTACACCCATGTCAGTCATGCAATGGCTGCAGAGGCACTTGACTCCATCCCCATAAAAGTTTTTACGTTTTTGTTTTCTTTTTTTTTGTTCTTGGTCTTTTTGAGACAGTCTCCCTGTAGCCACAGCTGGCCTCGAACTCACTATGTAGACAAGGCAGGCCTTGCTTGATCTCACAGAGATCTGCCTACCTTTGCCTCCTGAGTGCTGGCATTAAAGGCTCCCACACCTGACTGAATAAATATGTTTAAATGAGTATGTTAAGTGATGGTTTTTTGCTAGACAAGTACGCTATTACTGATCTATACTCCCAAACCAGTGAGTGTGTTTATTAAAAGCAATGAAATAATGTTGAAATGCAAAGGTTGAAACTCTTATCTTTTTGTAGTCAAAATCCATTAGGAAGAAATAAAAATACCAGATCCAGTATATTCTGTCTAATAATATTAATATCTTGTCATTTTCCTTAGAATTTTTCTTACTTGAACTGATTTAAATACCTTAACTATACTGTAGTTTAGAATGGATGCACAAAGGTTTTACATGTAGTTACCTGTTGTTGCTGATGTTAATTTAACTATAATTTTCCAGGTATTTAATGATCCTATCCATGGCCACATTGAGTTCCACCCTCTCCTTATCCAAATCATTGACACACCTCAGTTTCAGCGACTTCGATACATTAAACAGTTGGGAGGTGGTTACTATGTTTTTCCAGGAGCATCACACAATCGATTTGAACATAGTCTAGGGTAAGAAGGGAAGAGGGTGGGGAACTGGAAGTTTTTAATTACCTCTTATATCTCATGAAATATTTGTCTCATCGCTAAGAGAATAGTTTTATAAAATGGTTAGTATAACATCCTTATTTTATTGGTGAGAAAATTGAGACTTTGGACTTATTGTACTGTATTTTGTTTACTTTGTGTGTGTTTTAAACTACCTCAATAGTGAACATCTATTGACAGGTCACTTGAATTAAATATTGTCTTTAAGTATTTAAAATCTAATAGGGTTGGCTACTGGCATAACTGACTTTATAAATTTTATTATTTAATTTCCCTGTAGTCGCTGTTTGGTCTTTTCATTTCTTTTGTTTTGGACAGGGGCTCCCAGTGTAGGTAGCTCAGGCTGACCTCAAACTTGGTATTTTCCCATCTAGGCCTCCTGAGTCGCGAGAGTCCAGCCATGCTCCACCATGCCTGGCTTCTATTTGGTTGTGTATAGATTCACCCCCTTTTTTTTGTATTTTTAAAAATATTTATTTATTTTGTGTGTATGAGTGTATTGCCTGCATGTGTGTGAGTGCACCCATGTCGTGCAATGCCCGTGGAGGTTGGAAGAAGGCATCGGATTCCCCCAGAACTGGAGTTACGGATGGTTGTTAACCACCATGTGGGTGCTGGGACTCGAACCCTGGTCCTCTGCAAGAGCAGTCAGTGCTCTTAACTGCTAAGCCATCTCTCCAGCCCCAGAGTCACCCCTTTAAACACAGTAATTATCTGTCAGGAAATATGTGAGTTAGAGAAGAACTTGCAAGGTTAGAGGGATGAAGTGTCTGTTTTATACAATGGGATTGAGACTTTGGTTTACTTTTCCACTGTGAATGTAGAGCTAGAAGTAGACAGAAAAGTCCTGGAAGGTTTCCCTGTTTTTCATGAAGTATTCATGGTTTTTGAATACTTAGAATTTTTCATTTATCTAGGCCTCTCCCACTCCTACCCCTTTGGGCAGGGTTTCATTATATAGACTAGGCTGGCCTCAAACTCCTAATCCTTCTGCCTTAGCCTCCCAAATGTCAGAGATCTAGGCATGTGCCACTTAACCCAGGTACACTAGCCAAGACACGTGTACCTACACTCAAATTATAAACCAATATAAATGCAATATTTATTGACTCTTGACTAGACCTCACGACAAGCGACAAACAAGGTAGCAGCTGTCTGTATCCTCCTGGAGCTCAGAGTTCAGGGCAAAGGAAAGAGTATGCATATATTTTTTAAAGATACAATTTTTTTATTGAGCTTTTGTAATTTCATAAAACAGCTCTTAATCAAATTTAGACCCCTCCCCCAAGCATGCCTCCCCCATCCCACCACCGGACCTCATGTATTCTGCCATACATGCCATACATGTTGAGGCCTATCCATTCAGGCATTTGTACTCAAATGTCCTTCAGTATAAATTCATTCACTGGGGCTGGACATGGTGGCACATGCCTTTAATCCCAGCACTTGGGAGGCAGAGGCAGGCGGATCTCTGTGAGTTCAAGGCCAGCCTGGTCTACATAGTGAGTTCCAGGCCAGCTGGGGCTACAGGGAAACCCTGTCTCAAAAAGATCCCCCCCCCCAAAAAAAAAATTCATTCACTGGAATCTAGTCATTGCACATCTGGTCAGACACAGGAACATATGTCTGAGAGATGCCCAGTACTAGGTGACACATCTGCAGTTGAACCTCTATAACTAAGGCTCGTGGAACACAGAGGAACAAGGGTAGGAGGAAAAATAATGCATCCCTCAACTCTCACCAGTAAAACTTCCTTATACAACAGAGTGCAACGCACACAGAAGGCCACAACTGGCTGAGTTTTAGGGAATAAGAGACTGCAGAGTGTGGGATAAGAGCATATTCTTTTAGAAATTACTTTAATAGAGAGGTCTTAAAAGCACAGTTAACATTTATTACCAGTACTTATTTATTGATTATTTGTTCTTTTTTTGAGACAGGGTCTCACTATGTATCCCAGGCTGGCCTGGAACTCAGCTATGTAGACCAGGCTAGCCTCACAGATCACCACCTGCCTCTGCCTCCCAAGGGCTGGGCTTTAAGGTATGCCCACCATGTGCATTTTAATTTAATTTTTTTTTGCAGTGCTGGGTATCAAATACCTTACACATGCTAGTCAAGTGTTTTACCATCAAACTACATCTTCAGGCCTTTTAAGCACTTTATCTTTAATCTGTTTCAGATATTACAAAGCCAACTCAAAGTTCTTAAGTTGCAGAAATATGATTCACTTTTCAAACCAAAGTGTGACTTTTGGTCTTTTTCGTCTACAGAGTTGGGTATCTAGCAGGAAGTCTAGTTCGAGCACTGGCTGAAAAACAACCAGAACTACAGATAAGTGAACGAGATATGCTCTGTGTTCAGATTGCTGGACTTTGCCATGATCTTGGTACGCTGTACAAAGAGCCACAGTTGTTAAATAAAATCTCAACATGTGTCACCTGGATTTTAAATGTAAAAACCAGACTAAGCAAGAGAAATGTAGAAGTTGTATTTTAATTCTTCGCTAATCATATTAAATATCTGTTGCTGCTTCCTCAAATGATGAATAAGGGCAAAACATTGCTATTTGACTTGTAAATTTCCCATGTTAAGCATCTTGGCTGTAAGTTATATGAAAGGCTTTCTCTTTCTCTTTTTTTGTTTTTACTTTTTTTTTTTTTTTTTTTTTTTTTTTTTTTTTTTTTAGACTTCTCAGAAGGGAAGAATGGCAAAAAAAAACCGAAAATATCAACTTACTCTGGCCTGGAACTTGCTATGTAGACCAGGCTGGCCTTTCCAAGTGCTGGGATTAAAGGTGTGTGCCACCACGCCCAGCTACTTTCTTATTTTTGAGACAGGGTTCTTACTCTGCAACCCAAGCTGGCTCATTATGTAGCCCAGACTGGCTTCAAACTCATGGCAATCCTCCTGCCCCAGCCTCCCGAGAGATTATAGGTGTGAACCACAATACGGGACTAAAATGCTTTCTGATAGTGAGTTTTTCTTACTCTGTGTTTGAAATGATGTGAATTTGATTTCTTGTTTCCTTCTCACTGACGAAAATTGCTTTTTCCTTTAGTTGCTTTGTTAAAATCCACTCTTCTCATACCTAGAACACATAAAAGGAATACTTTTTCTTCCCTGACCCACAGGATGTCTTAGGCCAATTAAATCCAAGTGGGAGAAAGAAAAAGGCAATTAACTGTCCCAGACCTCTCTAATCTATGTTGTGTTTCAGTAGGCAGGTACTTAAATGGGACAGAATTCTTTCATGTCACCCCAGAAATTTCAATTTGGTTAGTGCCACTTCTTAGAAGATGATTGATTTTTTATACACCTTTTGGTTTGGCTTTTGGTGCTGAGGTTCAAACCTAGGACATTGTGCTTCTAAGCACTGGCCCTACCACTGAGCTATAGCCTCAGCACTAAATGAATGAACCTTGGTTCATAAACCAAGGTTCATTATAAGTTATATAAACTCTGGTGCCTGGAGACATATCTAACAAGAGTTTGCTTTCCAGTATGGTTTGCCTCTTACTCTGTTGTTTTAGAAAATTGGAAGGACAGGTTTGTTTTGTTTTACCATTAATTTTTGAAGGTTTTTGTTTGTTTGTTTTGTTTTTGTTTTTGTTTTCTTTGAGACAGGGTCTCCTTGTAACCATAGCTACAAGGATTCGCTATGGAGACCAGGGTAACCTTGAACTAACAGAGATCGGCCTGCCTCTGCACCTCCTGAGTGCTGGGATTAAAGGCATGTGCCACCATGCCCAGCTGTGTTTTACCATTAATTTATAGATTATTAATTAGTTGCTGTTGATATTCAAACTAAACTAAAAAGATTTTTCTAAGAATTCAGTTTTATCAGTTTACAAATATTTTTCTCATTCTAAGGCTACTTTTGTTTTCAAGGTCATGGGCCATTTTCTCATATGTTTGATGGAAGATTTATGCCACTTGCTCGCCCAGACATAGAGTGGAGGGTATGTATCCGTATATCCCATAGTCAATAGAAAGAAAAAGCATTCTAGCTGGTTATTGAATTAAATTACCTGGTTTTTCCTCTGCTTTGTTTCCCCTTCCCTGTTACAGTCTACAGGGTGCTTTAATTCATTCATACATGTTTCATTTGATCCTCACAGTAGTTTGTGGAATAGAAATCCTCACCTCCCTTTTTACAAAACTTGAAACTCTCAGAAGCATATTAATATTCTAAACATCACAAAACTGGTAAATGGGGGCTGAAGAGGTGACTCAGTGGTTAAGAGCACTGGCTGCTCTTGCAGAGGACCCAGGTTTGATTCCCAGCACACACATGGTGACTAACAACCATCTATGACTCCAGTTACAGGGGAATCCGTTGCCCTCTTCTGACCTCCACAGGAATTGCACGACATAGCTACATTTACATATATGCAGGCAATACACTCATACACATAAAATAAGAAAAAAAAATTTTTTTTTTTTTGCTTTTTTTGAGACAGTGTCTCCCTGTAGCCCCAGCAGTCCTGGATTCACTATGGAGACCAGGCTGGCCTCGAACTCACAGAGATCCGCCTGCTTCTGCCTCCCGAGTGCTGGGATCAAAGGCATGCACCACCATGCCCGGCTAGAAAATATTTTTTAAAAACAAAGCTGGTGAATGTAGAGCCAGCACTAGAAAATTAATTTCCTAGTTGTCAATTCAGTGTTCTTTTATTCTATCACACGACTATAATTTACATACAATAAATTATACAGATATTTGTTGTTGTTTTTGTTGGTTTGTTTTTTTTTTCTAAGGCAATTTTATTTTATTTTATGTGTATGAGTGTTTTGCATGCGTGTATATAAGTGCACCATGTCTGTGCATAGCCCACGGAGGCCAGGAGATGGAGTTGGACCCCCTGCAATTGGAGTTACAGATGGTTGTTAGCCACCGTGTGGGTGCTAGGTACTGAGCCTGGGTTCTCTGCAAAAGCAGCCATTGCCTTAACTGCTGAGCCATCTCCAGCCCTGTTGGTTTTTTTCTTTTTTTTTGAGACAGAATCTCACTATGTAGCCCTGGCTGGCCTGGAACTCAACAGATAGTCAAAGCTGGCCTTGGACTCACAGAGACAAAGCTGCCTCTGCTTCCAAATACTGGGGCTAAAGGTGCATACCACCACACATGGCTTAAATTATACAAAGCTGAAGTGAGTTTGGCAAGTGTACACATCTAGTCTGGATGTAGAGCATTTTCATTGTTTCATTCTTGTTAGCCTTTGCCTCTTTGTGTGATACAGAGGATAAAACCCAAAGCATTGCACATGCTAAGTATGTGCCCGCTGCTACATCCCAGCCCCTCCTGTGCCCTTTCTAACTCAGTTCCTCCTTCTTGCATCATTGCGGAGCGGCTCGGCGGGCCAGCTGCAGGAAGCTCGGGCCAGCTGCGGGGGGCTCTCCCTTTCTTCGCAGGTCGTTGGCCACCGGCCCACGAGGGCAGGGAGAGCAGAAGCGGCGAACGGGGTCAGAACGGCCAGTGGGTGCTGACGGAAGACAGCTCTTCCGGGGAAACTGATCACAGGCTGGTCCCAGGCGCAGTGAAACAGCAATGACACAGCTCCAGGCACAGTGAAGAACAGCTCCATTTATTAGAGGGAAAACTAGAGAATTTATAGTGGGGGTCAGGGAAAATATAGTGTGGAGGCAGCAGCCAAAGCTTCAGCTGATAGGTGTTCATAGTGTGCTTTATTTACATGTGGTAGGGGGATCCTATCACCTGGCTATAGGGCAATGCCTAATTATCATATAGAAAAAACCTGGGGGCAGTTTTATTGCAGGTAACTATGCCCAAGGTCATGTTCCAAATAAGGTCAAGCATCCCTGCTTGGAGGCACTTTCCAGATAAGTCAGGCAGAGAATAGGAGGGCCCCACTGAGAAAGGGAGTCCTCCATACAGTGCCAAGCTCCTTAGAGCTCTCTGGACATGGTGGACTGCAACCTTAGCAGCACGGTCCCCCAACATGTCCCCCTGTTTTGTTTTGTAGTGGAGAAGTGTTATCACAAGCTTTAAGAGCCAACTCATGTATCTCAGGAGAATCCAAAGTCTGATAATTGACCATGACCTGATTGGTAGTAATTTTTACAATGGTAGTAATTTGTCAGTGAAGAAATTGTATGAAACAGGAAGCAAGCACCAAAATAACACACACCATAATCAGGGGGCTAACAAACGGTAGGAGCCGTGGAAACAAGGGGCTACTAAACCAACTTAATTGTTCGGTGGGTTGAAATCTTGAAAATAGATCATTACGAAGTTTTTTGAGAGTGTTAACATCGGTTTCAACATTTGATTCATTTACAAAAAAACAGTATCCCTCTCCCAATACCACACACGTCCCCCCATGTTCAGCAGTTATTAAGTTCTTCTGTTTTGGAGCACAACCCTGGCAAGAGAGTTCATTTGTCGTTGGAGAGATTCGAGGCTGTCAGTTGTGGATGCCATTGCCTGGTCCAGCTTGTCTCAAAAATGTCCCACCAGGTGCTGGGTTTGTACAATTGCAGCAGTAGCAGCGCCTCCAGCACCCAGGGAGAGTGCAAGTCCGATCCCTGCTAGCAAAGGGATGAAGATTTCTCTCTGTTGGCGGCTGTGAAGGAGGAGGGCAGCTTCCTCCTTCTCGAGTAGGTACACCTGGGGTGTAATCATTACCGGTATACAAAAGGTGGACAAAGAGGAATTAACACAGTGTTGGGCTTTTCCTTTGCACCATAGGAAAAGAGGAGGGGCGACGCATGCTATACTGGAGAGAGTAATGTTAATGAGGCATTTGTAATGAGTAGGCTTACTCTTGCTGGAAATGCAAATTGGATAGTTAGTCGGCTGTTCGAATGAGGGAATATCCATTAGATGAGAGTCAGTGAAATCTTTTTTTGTTTCTGGGTAAAGAAGGGTGGTATTAACTGGTACTGCTGTCAGTAAAGGTCTATTGCTGGATGCACAAAAGAAGCAGTTAGAGGCATTGGGGTGGGTGGTGAAGGGAAGAAAGTTAGCAACATACTGAATGTACTTGCTCCAGGACATAGTTGATCTTATCTGGTCCTCTGTTTGTCTTCCCTGTAGAATAATATTATGATGAGTTAGCACAGACTTAGCTGCAGGTGCAAGCTATGGAGAGATATGCAAGTCAGCTGTGGGGTACCTAGAGAATGCACCTGAGTAGAATTCTGTTATTACTCCAATACTCCAGCAATTGTCTCATGGATCTGATTTTTTCCTTGAAAAATAAAATCTCTAGAACATGGTATTAGGGAGAGTGGGGGCTGGCTGAAGCGTTGT